CTGTGGAGAGACCTATAGATCGCAGTTCACAGATGTTTCCTATCTATTCCAGTGGCGATTGAGAGGCTCTGACAGGAAAAATCAGATCAATTCCCCAAAATCCAGGTGTACAAAGTGTATAGACACTTGCCAAGCTACCTTATCAGTCATTTGTGCTTCTTTTCTTTTAGCATGTCATATCCTGGAGTGCTCGGAGGGTTTAGCCCAGGAAGTCATCAGTACCATCGGCCAGGCCTTCGAGCTACGTTTTAAACAGTACCTAAAGAACCCCCCCAAACTGGTCACACCCCATGACAGGTACATGTAAATACTGTTGTTCATGTGAGCCCCAAAGAACTGAATGTAGTGTCCACAGTGTCCACAGTGCCCCAAAGAAGAGCTTGTGTTTTGTCACTTGTAACGTGTTTGTGCATCTGCTTTTTTAACACCCCTTTATCTCCCAGAATGGCCCCTTTCGATGGCTCTGCGTGGGAGGAAGAAGATGATGAGGCTGCTCCACCTCCTGATGTCCCCTATTACAATAATTTCCCTGGAAAACAGCCTCCCCCTGGTGGACTGGTTGACATGAGGACCCGCCCAGGGGCCACTCTGGTGAGAGAAGTGCACAGAAACACAACAAGAGGATGAAATGTATACATATGCGTACATGCATGTACATATCCAAACACAGGCAGCTCTGCAATTAAGAGATGATACACTCGTAAGGAATCTCCTGTGTGTTTCAGACATGTTCACTTTTGAGCCTAGTAAATTTGAGGGCAACAGTAAGAAATATATCTGATGTGTTCACATTGTGTGTTGACTTATTATTTGTTGATGTGCCTCTGTGTTTGCAGCCCTATGGACAGCCAGGTCAGAATGACATTCACAAGCAGCCTCTGCCACCTCTGCCAGGTGAGATCTGTCTCTGTCCATCTGTCTCCAGCTCTCTCTCTCATCACCTGTGAATCTGAAAGGGAATCACCCAGGGTGCCATTCAGACGTTTAATGGAGACATTAAACAGCTTCTTGGATAACTAGTTATTTCCCTCAGTATGGATCAATCTGTGTTCAGTCACATTAGGATGAAGGAGTCCTTGAGTTCTGTGCCACAATACAGCTGATTAGAAATGACAAGGTTATTGAACTTTTTTTTTTTTTTTTAGTGGGTGCCAAAGAAGGGGTTCGGGAACTGTTTGATGATCCTTCATACGTCAATGTGGACAAGCCTCGTCCTCCAGCTACAGCAAATGGAAATGCTCACAGAGATGCTTTTGACATGAGTAAGTCTATGAGTAAGTTGTTCATGTTTTTCTGTTATCATCTTATGCTGAGAACATCATATGAGCTTGATACATGTTGGGAGTGCAGATTACTAAATAGCTTGCTGGGAATGTAAATTACAAAAGCTGATGACTAACATTTCTTGTAAATGACAAGATGTGTGGATTATAATCAAAGTTACCTAAATTACTGGTAATAGCACATTTTTTACCACCTGTAAAGATTAAGGTTTAATCTCTGACTAAGGAGAAGAGCAGTGTGTGTGTACTGCTGTGTACTCGACATTCCATATGACTAGCTAATTAAAGAGTGGAGTGGCCCACAGAAGGCATCCTTGGAGAAAGATAAGGGAATTAGAGTGCTTTTGTCCATTACAGGGGCATTTTATGCAACATGATTGGTTGCCTGCCTAAAACTTTTCACAATAAATACACAGTCCACTATCAGTGTTTAGCATATATCTATCAGAGACCATGTAGTTCACTTGGCCAAGGACATAAAAAATTGAAATGCAGACAAAAATTAAATGTTTCCTATAGAAGCATACATTTGAGGATTTTACCAGGGCAGTATAATATTACATCATTTGTATTTTGTTTCTTTTAAAGAGCCATTTGACGATGCCCTGGGGGTCTCTGGACACAGTGGCCCAGGCTCAGTGACAGCAGTGCCCCCTCTAGTGCAGCAGTTGCAGTGTGAAACCTGGTTCCATGGTAGCTTAAGTCGTAGGGAAGCGGAGAAGCTGCTGATCCATGACGGAGACTTCCTGGTACGAGAGTCTGGGACCACGCCGGGACAGTACGTCCTCACGGGACAACAGGGGGGTCAGCCCAAACACTTGCTCTTAGTCGACCCAGAAGGAGTGGTGAGTCAGGGTGGAAGGAAGGGATCACAAGAGCAAAGGGGAGGGAGAAACATGAACCATCAAACACCTGTGCTGCAGGTGTATACTGTATGTTGTTAAACTTGCTTCTAACAATTTTTTTTCCCTATAGGTCCGTACAAAAGACCATCGGTTTGAAAGTGTGAGTCATCTGATCAGTTACCATATGGACAACAGACTCCCCATCGTATCAGCTGGTAGCGAAGTGTGTCTGCAGCAACCAGTAGAGCGCAGGGCCTAAAGTTACAGACACCAATGAATTTACTCCACCAAATATACACACTCCAACAGCAAATCTACACAAGACAAACACCTTCATGTGCTATAATACACACAGCAACACTACACTTTGCACACTTACACATATACATGAAGCCCAAAAAGAGGACAAATTACCAGTTTCTCTGCAAAATTGCATTTGCTGCTGTTGCCATGTTTCTGAAAGCCAAACTTTGACCTGCAGTCACCCATCACCGCCACCAACTATCAGGCTCATCCCTCCACAACGAAGACGCACTGCTGCAATTTCTCCACAGCCTACTGTGAACCAGGGAGGAGCCCTTTGCTAATTTCAGAATGGGGCAGAAAACTAATGCAATTTTTTTAAGGAAAAAAGATGACATGATTATGGAGGAAAAAAAAGAACACTTTAATAATACATGGAATTGTGTCCAAAAATAATGGAACTGAAGAGTAAAGAAAGGATCATTAATGGGACATGGACTGATGTTTTCTGTGCTTTTAACTATGTGGTCTTTCATTTGGGGGAAAATTATTTCCCTCCTTAGACTGTTGCTGGAGGGTTTTAGAGAGAACACAGACAGGATGGCAACCGTTCTTTGCTTTAGAGACTGACCATTTAAGCAGCAAACCTGACTGAAGTAAGTCTGCTTGGTGAATATGCATAAACAAGCTTGCCTTCAGTCTAATCAGGAAGGCCACCCCACCCCCAACCACTCCCCTCTAAGAGACTTTTGAACTTTATCCCCTGGTGTGATACCTGCTGATGTGGAAAGCCTGGATGCAAAACTGAGACTGTCATTGACCATCATATGTTTTTGCTTTTGTTTTGTTTTTGTTTTGTTTTTTCCCTCCCTGTCTGTTGTCTTAGGACTCATTACTTACTGGACATGCTGAGTTCAGGAGGATCTAAAGAGCTGTATCACCCAGATCCTTCTGTAAACACATACAACGGTTATACCACACACAGTCTGCACCACCTGGCATGCCAAAGAACATGAACTTGGTCGCTAACAGCAGAGGAAGCCATCATAATTGTCAACGGTTATGTCTTGTGTGTTTACAGCATTGGAAGCTAATTTAGACTGAAGGAAACAGATATTAAAATGAGCCTATTTAGAGAGGAGAAGAAGACTAGGTGCTTGTGCCTGAATACATCATTAAAAAGGGGATTTTTTTTTAAGTGCATGATGGCACCCACAAACACAATAACTAGTACATTTTGAGAAGCATAGACCATTTTTGACCTATTGCTTTTCACTGATACCTTTAGTGTGTTATTCTGACAGTAAAAGAGACGTTTTAAAGAGACCTCTGTAAGTGTTGGCCGATGAGAAATGCTGAACAGTCTAAGCAGTGACTTTCCCTCTGCAGAAAGGATGTAAATTGTGTCAGTAACAGGTTTGGTAATTTTTTTATTTTTTGTATTGTGATGTTGCTTTACTTTTTAATCGCTTGAGGAAAAATGTCCTTGATTTAAAATCTTGTATGTAGATGAAATGGGTCAGGGGTACCACATAAGGACATAAATGTTTCAGGAGCATTGCTGACATTGAAATGTTAAGCCAAATGTTGCTCCTCTGTGTGCTGATTTGAGGACCTGGAGGGAGAATTTCACACCTTACTTTCTCCTTTCCTCTTCCTCCTCTCTCAGTTCATGATGTTTTTTTTAAATATCTTTTTAATTGTGCCTTGTTTCTTCAATGCAGTCATGTCACTTCAGTGCAGTCACCTTATGCACTTAATTCAAATGTAGTTGACTACAGGAGAATCTTACACAATCCTCAGTTACTGTAAACAAGACTGCAAAAATGACACTCCAATAAACAGACAAAACAGATCCAGTGATGGCAATCTCCTCTGATGCACATTCTTGCATTCAGCTTATAGTCACAGATACCTGATGTCACCATAGGGGAGGATATATCTTGACCATCTGTAAACAACATCATTTTTATTTACACTGGACAGCTTGGTATTAGATAATTGTTTTCATACGTATAAATTTAAAGACTTGTTTAAGTAACATAGCCAGGCACCATAGCACTGAGGTAGCTTTTTAAACCAGTTGTCCATGAGATTGAGGCCAAACTCCTGAAGAAGGGATCTTTCAATATATAAACATTTATTGTCAACTAGTCCACATACTAGAGTCACACCTTGCACTCTTGTCTGTTCAGGTGTTTCAGGGATGAGGAAAACCAGAGTTCTGCCATTACTGTGTGTGCCTGCCATGTACTGAAATACACCGTTCCCTCCGCATCATTAGTGAACTGGTCCTGTGTCATCGGTGTTCATCACAGTTGCCTTTGTTGCATGAGAATCCTTTCAAAAAACATTTGTTGTATATTGTTGGTGATGGTAATAGTGTTGATGATGCTGTTGTACTTTTAAATTTGTGTTTTGAAAGCCAAAGGTTACTTTTAGATAGCATTCACAGATTTTGATTTGTACTTTGTCTGTTTTTAATATGTTTTTGTTTTTAGGGAAATGTGTGTTTACACCTGTATCTGAAAAATATAGATTGCATATATAAATACATATATCATTCATCTCTCTTTGTGAGTTTGACTTTTGATATGATAAGTGTGTACAGAAAAAAATAGTTAAACAAAGGGGCATTTAAAAAAAGCTTTGGAAAATGAAACAATAACAGCACACTGCTAGAAAGCATGATTGCCTGTCACATACTGTCCAGAACAAAGAATGTAATGTAGTGGAAGGTTGTATTGGAGCTACTGGAACGATCCTATTCGTGAACAGATGAGACTGTAAGAGGCTGATTCAGAGATTGTCAGAGCTCAGAGAGAGGGGTACTTTACAACAGAGGGGAACAGTGCACAGCCGAGTTAAACAAGGCATTTAATCAATCAGCGGATGTTTGAAAGCAGTAGAGAGTCTAGAAAAAGCAGGATGTGAATGGAGATGACCTGCACTTTGTATAGGAGGTTATAAGTAGATGAAATAACTGTGCCAGGAATATGGAGCAGACCTCAGCTCATGCATGAGACAAGACCAATCTCATTTGTCAGACCTCACCTACTACTGCTTCTTCCCATCAACTGCTCTCCTTGTTGCCGCTACCTGATCACTCTCTGGAGCCATGCATCCCCAGCGACCTCTTCCGCAGGCCATGCCATCATCCTCTCTGGGACAGAACCTGCAGGGCATGGCCACAGGTCTGGGTCAAGGCAAGAACTTCCTGGGAGGAAACTATGCCTACAGCTTCATCCAATCAGTCAAGGAGTGCATCTATTTACTTCTGTGCTGCTGGTGTGTCAAAGAGATTCTGGACTGACAGTTTGAGAGAGAGTAAATCAAATGGTCAAACACTGATTTTCCCTGTTTCTCCTTGGGCCTCTGTAGTGTAAGTTCTACCTGCTTTTATTACATCACAAATGGGGCGTTTAAACAATGGTGCTAGAAAAGCACTGACAAGAATTATTCCTGTCTCATACTAACAACCACTGCAAAATAAAGTCTTTGTAATTTACACAGATTGTGCTACTTACTGTACATGGTGAAGTTCTCAGTTTTAGAAAGCAGGTTTACTACATACTAGAATTATTTAATGATTTAAAATATTTTATTTCTGTTTTTCAGAGTCTCTAGGATGCTGTTCTTGAGTGCCCACAAAATGTACATGCACATTTTCAGATGCTAATTGTAAGAATTTCCTAATTTCAGATTGAATGGCAGCCCTGATCTTTGCTGTACAACTCAAACTAGTGTTGCACTGAATAAAGAAACATACTTTTATGTCTGCATTTTTGTTCATTTTGTTTTAGTTTGAGTTAACAGCAAAAAAAGAAATTAAATTATTTTATTTAGGTGTCACATACATAACATTATATGCCTTTGAGACTTTATGGATTATTTAGTTTGACAAATTTTGGGAAGGAAAATTCCCACTAGAGGTCCCGAATTATCATTTAGGTAATGATCAAATACACAGTATACATTTTACAAGCTTTTTTATATAGGAAAGAAGAATAATGTGAAACCGAGGACTCGTGCTTGAAACAAATACAACATATGTAGGATATAAAATTTACATAGTCACCATCACCTGCATATGTCAGTCAACTTGGAAGCTTTCCCTGAGACGCACAACGATGCCGTTTTACCATTGGTGGAGCTCGAAGATGAAGGGCGGGGCCAAAGCGAACACCAGCTGTGATTGGACAACAGGCGCGTGAATCATACAAGTTCAGGAGGCACATTCTAAGTTTCCAAGTTTGATGGGAAGAACTTAGAAGCGTCAGCTGTGTCTCTGACAGGTTGTGGGGATTCAAGTGTAACGTTAAACAACGGACCACGGTAAGAATGGCCAGAATTTGAATGCAATTAACACATATTTGGTTAGAAAATAGCAACGTCTACTCTCTTGTTGTTTTTTTCTTCTATCCTGTCGCCACACGCGTAGTTTCAGTCATGTTTTTCCTGGTTGCTCGATGGACTGTTGCAACGTTAAGTGGAAATGAACTTATAGCACGCACTATAGTCTTCAGCACATAGAGAAAGTGAGTTTTTTTGTTTAAAGTGGTTTTAGTTTTTGTTTGCCAAATGGCATTTCCTGTCATAGGCTTAACTCCTTCATTTAAACAGTCTATATAATAATTTGGCGAACCGCCCTCTTTGTTGGTGATGCTGTGAGCTGGTTATGGTGCTGGCAGCCTAACGTTGATGTCATATTGGCTTGTCCTGTAGTTTAGCTCTTTGACCTTTTTTGGTAATTTTTCCCTGCTGAGGCCAGGATAATAAGATTAGGCCTGCAGCTGTGACCTATGTGACTGTATTTTGCTCAAGAAAAACGGTGCATGTGACCAATATTCATATGCACAACATAACACTTTTGTACGTTTGTTTTTTCGTTTAAAGATGAAGTAGTTAAGATCACATGTGGTTCCCAGTATCTGTAAATATGCAAAGTTGAGATGTGACGTAATCCAGCTTTAGTATTGTAAAGCCAGACTAAAGGCAGTGGAAGTGTTTTTTCTCTGTTTAAAACCTACAGCTTGTTCTGTGTTTAAAATAATCTTTTAAAAACTGTCCTCGGAATACATTGCCACCTCAGTGTTCCCCGCGGCCATGCCCTGCATGCTTCTTTCTCTGTCTCTATTCAATCTCTTGGTAGCTATATTTAGCTGGTATCTATTTAAGACATTTCACTATATGCTCAACAATGCTCCTTGGGCCCTAGACTAGATTCAGTAGGCTCCTCTTGGGATGCACTCGATTAGAAGTCCTAAATTGCGGAGCTGGGCCAGAATTGAATTTGGGAAGTGAAGTGTGTCATTACCCACACAATGTGCTGTTAACTTAAGTGGTTTGTTTGTTCTGCAGTCACTGAATATAGCCAGACTACACACACATAAATGTGCATCTCTGTTAATGTCATCTGCTGCTATTTGAAAGGAAAGGTTGAATACCTGACACTTGTATCTCTCTTATACTTCAGTGATCTGTTTGTTGTTGCACTTCCGCAAAGGTAGATTGGACCAAAATGGTTCCACTAAGTCTCATTTTACTGTAAAATTCCTATGCACTATACAAATATGCAGTATACAAATGTGGTGGTTTGCGGACGTCTATTTAGCAGACCAACTGCTTTGAAACAGGCTATTCTGCTGCCTGTGTGTGCAGAATAGTACCAGCCTTAGTTACCCATGCCTCTGCCAAATCATTTCCCAGATAGTCAAAAGCAGGGGTGTCCAAAAAGCCGACATCACACACAAACTACTAATGAAGAACTGAATGGTCTGGGAGAATTGGACTTCCTGCACATCCATTTGCACACTCACACAGCAATGTGTTAGCAACACCTTACATTAGGCTAAACCCTTTGTTGACAGAATGGGTGAGGCTGAGTAGCATAGTATAAGATCATTTGCATGTGTAAATGTAAGCTGTAAATTTCTTAAAGCGGCAGTACTCACACTGTCACTCCTAATTGTGGTCTAGTGGCAGGCCTCTGAACAATGCACCTGCTGACGTGGCGTTATTAGCTGTCGCTTCATTAGGCACACTGGTAAACAAACCAAAATCCTGTTTTCTCACCCCACAATATTTTAAACTTAGGCTTCACCTTGGAGTTTCAGGGGATATAGGAGCACTGAGGAAATAAATTTGATCTGTTCTCAGTGAAACGCTGTTACTTCTATGGTCTGTTTTGTATGTTCATCTTGTATTGCAGGAGACAGACAAAGCCTCTAGGGGGTCATGTCTGGTGGCACTAGTTCTAACAACAGCTGGACCATTCTCACTCCTGAGGTATCATAACTCTGTAAAGAGAATAGGAATGTGTGGAGTTGGTGTGCATGCCCTCAGTGAAAATACTTTTTTATATATATATTAAAAAAAACAACTTCTTGTCCCAATTGATATCCTTTTGGGTCACCTGAATATAAAGTAGGTTTCTGTAATAAATCTGTGTTTCTTGCTTGTATTCAGATTTAATTGTTATTCAGGAAGGTAAACTATTTTTCAGCACTGATCTGTGAGCAGGTTACGCTGCCTAAGTCTCTTTGGCAGTAAGGTCATGATGCTTAATTGTTACCAGAGCTCAGAAACAATCAAAAGAACCTGTATGTTCAGATGAGGCTAGATTGGGTCAGCTATAATACTTGCATGGTAATGTCTGTGTTCATGTGCTTTGACTGTCTTTTGTTTGTTTGTTTGTTCTAGGAGACTGTTGCTGAAACCCTGAAGCCCCTGGCGGAGAGGGCAGAGCACCATGAAGAAAGCCTTATGGCTGCAGCAGGTGTCTGTCACAATACATTTGAGGATTATGAGATTATTTATGTCACAGGAAAAACTTTTTTAGCATGTCTGTTATCACTTATATTTTTTTCCTGTATTGCTACTTAGTTTTACCTATTTGCCCTCACTGATAATCAAAAGAAACGGCCTGAGAATAACGTACTATATCACCATTACGCTTCATTGTGGGTATGCACACTGATGACCCATGTCAGAATTGCACCATTTGAAATGTTCACAACTGAAATATTAACTACTACTAAAATAACTACTTCTCTAAAAATGTCTCTTCTTGGCAGCTATGTCTGTGTTTGATGAGCCAGGCGCTGGGCTAAACCAGCCCACAAAGGGTGTAGCATCTACGGTGCAATCCCCTGTGGAGGGCCACCTGGTAAGATGGCAATACACATGCTTTTCTATTTGTTAGTCTTTTAGTTTGTAAATATGCAGTGGTCTGAAGGGATGCTCATATCTGGCTATCTGGAGGATGTACATTAAAATGGTTCCTACCATAGCTACCAGGAGTACTTTTACTCTCATGTGGTTGTGCAGCCATATTAACACCCTTCTAAGTTTTCATGTCTGGAAGATGACTCATTTCAGATGGGATCATGCTACAACTTTTTTGTGAAGTTTTAAAATAATGTTTAAATAATGTTACTAAAGACATGTTTGTATTTAAAGAATTTTAGAAAGAAGAGCAAGCACAATTTATTGTTCTTAACAAGAGCTTTATTACAGACGGGTGCAGAAAGTCATAAGCATCAACACCAAAAATGCTTAATATATAGGGTGTCCTAAAAGGCTTGAGTGACAGTGTTATACCCCCAGGAAGTTTAGGGGCCTGATTTTTCCACACAGGTATCAGAGCCAAGTGGAGACACAGGCACAGAGCCCACCACCTCTTTGGATGTCTCCAGCAGCTCTGTTCCTGGCAACAATGCTCTCGGCCATTCAGAGGGTCTACCTGAGGGCCTGGCAGAGTCCAGCTCTGACCCTGATTTATTCTCTGACTCCTGCACCCACGTTACCCCCTCCTCTGATGAGCCCCCAGCCTTTCTGCTGAGCACAGAGACTCTGGGAGAGGGGCAGTTTACACAGGAAGAACAGAAGCTTGCCGAAGAAGAAACACTGCATCTCCTAAGTGGGGCAGAGTCACAACAAGAAGGGGAGGCATCAAACGTGTCTCAGCGGATAACTGACTTAGGGACCCAGGCAGGTATGAACAACAACACTCGGGTCATTAATATAATGGCTTCATCATCGATTTTATTATATTTGGGTTATAAACATGGCAAAAGTCATCAGGTGGTGTGCCTGTACTGTTTCCATTCTTTTTTTGGAGGCTAAGACATATGTCCTATTTGTGTTTGAAGTTTACCTAGTCGACCAGGTGGTTATGGACTTGTTCAGTGTCTGGAGAGGCTGTGGTTGGTATGAGGAATGGGGCACGATGGGACAGAGAAACATTTATGTGCATGACATCCTGCAAAATTAAATTGGCTTCAGAGGGACTGGGACCTCAAAGAGTTTTTTTGCAGTGTGGTGTTTTTAGTGTGCAGCCCTTTGTCTCACTGCAGCTTTAAAAAAAATTATACTTCTTTTGCTTTGTTGTGCATTCTTTCTTACTTTTTTTTTGTTTGTTTACCGTTCCGTGTTAGTAAGTTCTTAACAGTGCCCATTTACTGTAAAGTACCATCATTCTTTAACAATATAAAATGGTATGCAATTAGTTTGAAACTTTATAGCACAGTTGTTTCAGCCTGGTAGAACTTCCAAAATGAAGCATTTAAGACACTTTACAAACTGTTTATTCAGCCTTTTTTTTGTAGCTGAATGAAAAATAAGGAATGGCAGTGGAGCAAATTGACTAGCATGCCACGCACAGCAGAGCCAATAAAGAAGCTAGTTTTGCATCCTTAGAGGGGTTTTGTGTCATAGTGATGCATCAAACTGGTTATAGCACCATAGCTGCTGTGCTATCTAATATCAACTCTGTAAGTGCAGCAGCTTTGTTTTAAAATAATGAATGTCAGAAAAAAAAAACGTTGTTTCTACCCAAAAAGTTTTCACCACTTCTGCTTAGGGGGTAACCATAATATAATCAAACCTATTGATTGCAAGGTAATTATCAAAATATACTTTGACAGCTTTTCACGTTCTTTACTTCCACTGCTTCAGACTCCCCTGTGTATTCAGAAGTTGGTGAGGAGAAGATCGGAGAAGAGGGAGAGCCAGAGGTGAGAAAGAGGAGGTTTCTCTTAGCAAATCTGGAGCAGATCGGACGGACAGAAGAGGAAGAGGAAGTAGAGGAAGAATTTCAAATGCCACGGCGAGTGGAAGAGGGTGGATTCTCATTGAACAAGTGTATCCTGGGTGCACTCATTCTGTTAGGCCTCGGCACCATCTTTTTCTCAGGTAGGCATCTGCATATGACCTGCTGAGAAGGCAACTATCCCATTTTGTTATGTTAATGTTTGATTTTATAGTGAGGTTAGATAGAAGAATGTGATGCTAGCAGAGGACTAGAAAGAGGGCCCTCTGAGACTGAGATGTATTATACCTGCAGGTGTCTTCATGGACCTGGATGAGGGTAATTTGGGTAAATGAATGAGTGTTTTCTTGCCCCCAGCATGCATCTTGGTGTGTATGTGCATGCATAAAAATCTTTTGCTTCTGCCACTTCACAGAAGTTTTTTTTTTCCCCTCCTAAGCCCTGCATGCTTTTCACATGTTTAAGCAAGATGGGAGATGACATACACTTTGGCAATGAGGCTTATTTGCTGTCAAATAAAAACCTTGTACTACATCACCACAGTCTAAACCAACAGCTTTAGCTTGCTTTTTCTATTCAGGTCAAAGTCATTAGTATGAAAACTTTACAAGAACTTAAAGGTTAAAGGGTAAGGTTGGTTATTTTCTCTATTGATAGCATTTTCAATAATTCCCATACATGAATATATTGTTTCTAATGCTTTTTTATTTTAAATAAATTACACATTATATACTACTCTATGTGCCCATACTCCATTGCTTTGGCTGTTTTTGAGGTGGGTCTCACTTTTTCTAGTGATACAATGGAATGTGAAGCGTTTGCTGGCGTTGTTTGACTGTATATTGTGCACGGTGAAATAAAACTTTGAATAATGATTTGCAGAGAGTGACTATGGTACAGGGGAACTGAAAGCTTCAGAGGTACCAGGAAAACAGGTCAGCCTGAATTTACTTTTGTCTCTATTCAGTGTTCCTTGTTGTCTAACTTTTATACATTATATATGCCATGTTGTGTACAAGGACGGTTAGTGTCACCACATGTATTTTTAGTGTAGTCAGTAGGAGAGCAGCATTACTGCTGTTGTTGACCAGCTGTCTAACTCCGTACTTTTTGTACTTTCCCATGTCATCAACTTGTACCATTCTTTCACATCTCATGTACTCTGTCAGTATTAAAATCATGCCATTGTGTTTTACTGTCTGTGCAATTTGTTGACAGGAGTTGCTTAGTCCAGAGGTTCCTCCATCCCCAGTAGAAGCTGACAGAGAGATTCTAAATAAATTGGCCAAAGGGAGCCAACAAATTTCAGTGCTTCAAGCCCAACTTCAGGTGTGACTCCATTCTGTCTCTCTCATCATCTCTCATATGTTTGTGTGTGCACATACCTGGCATTGCTCACACTGTTGGGACCAGAACGTGTTCACACGCCCACATCGTGGGGACTTGGCCTTGAGGCTGAGTTTAAGTTAGGGTTAAGCAAGTATTGGATATGGTGAGGGTTAGGGTAAGTCTCTAGAAAATGAATGTAAGTCAGTGTAAAGTCCAGATGAAACGTGTTTGTATGTGCACACAAGATATACAGTACATGCATGTTTCTGTGTATGAGTTTCACTGAGTGTGTAATTCTGACAGGACCCTCCTTTCCTGTTGTGTGTGTGTGGTTTTTTTTTTTTTTTTTTTTAAAACAGGCACAGGAAGAAGAGCTAAAAGTAGCCAAGGGACAGGCAGCAGAGGGAGCGAAACAGCGACTGCTGTGGGAGGAGATGGAGAGGGAAAACAGTAGGTTGAAGACAGAGATGGCATCTCTCACTGTCCTTCAGAAAGAAAACGAGAAGATGAAGAGAGAGCTGGACTCTATGTCGGCCCTACAGAGAGAACTAGAAACACTGAGATCCACTGTGACAGAATTAAAACTTTCCTCAGGTACAAAGCGACAGAGGGAGGGGATGTGGAGAAGAATAGAAAATGTATAAGAATGAGAGTTATTAGAAAGCTGGGGACACTGGAGAAAGTTCCTTTTTAATTTTCTCACTCACCTTTGTAGTGTTAATGACTACCTGTTTCCTTAAACAGCAAGTGAAGCATCTGAAGCACCTGTGAAGATGACTACATCGCCCCCCAGTGGCCAGCCAGAGGACACCAGGCAGGGGACTGCTGGAAGTGCAGAAAGGCAGGCAAGGAAACTGTGGGATGACCAGAAGCAAAAGAAGAAAAATGGGAAGAAGGATAAATATGACACTGGTGAAAAGAATAAGTGGAAAGAGACAGAAAAAGTTGAATGGAAAGAAGGAGAGAAAAGGGATTACAAAGATGTAGGTAAATCTGAATGGAAAAAGGAAAAACATGAGCAAGGAAAGACTGTGAAGGATACCAAAGGCAAGCACAAGAGCCACAGTGATGAGACAAAACAATGGAGGGAGAAAGACTGGAAAAAAGAGAAGGCTAGCAGAGGTGATGAAGGAAAGCCATGGAAGGCTAGGAAAGAGGAGAAAGAGCAGGTAGAGAAAAGTGAGAGAAAAGAATGGAAGGAGGAGAGAGACCAGAAAAAGGCAAAGCATGGAGAAGTGAATGAAGGTAAACAATGGAGGACTAAAGTGGAGAAGGACTGGGAGCAAGGAAATGACCATGGAGAGAAGCACAAGGGCAAAGAGGAATGGAAAGGAGAAAAGGAATGGAAGAAAGTGAAAGATGGCTCTAAGGAAAGTGGCAAAGAGAAAAGGAGGAATAAAGACTGGAAGGAGAAAGGAGAGAAGAGAGAGTGGAAGAGTAAAAATGGAAACAATCCAGATAAAGAAGGAAAAGAAGAGGGAGAAAGGAAACTGTGGGAAGAGAGCAAAAATCATGGTAAAGAAAGGAAGAGAAAGGATGAGGGGAAACAGTGGGGTGAAAATGAGTGGAGGAGTAAAACTGGTAAACATGACAAGGAGGGGGAAAGGAAGGATGAGAGGAAACATTGGGGAAAGAAAGAAGAGTGGAAGAGAGCAGGCGCGAAAGAGAGAGAGCACAGTGGAGAGTGGAACAAAGACGGCTCAAGCTCTCAGCAACACAAAGATGAGCACAAATTTACCAGTAAACACTACCATGAAGAGCATGTGTGGGGTGACGGGAGTCCCCCTCAAACACACCACCGACCCTCCCTGGACCAGCCTGAATACTGGGTCCAACAGAGAGACCACCTCCAGCACATCCTCAAACCACCACAGCACTGCAACTCAGTGGAGACCTGTGCTCAGGCGGAGGGACTGATCCCTGTCCCCTTATTTGAGTTTGAGGTTATCCTCCAAACTTACCTAGCCAAAGCAGAGGAGGTGGGAGTGGAGGCTTTCAAAAGAGAGGAGCTCATGAAGCTAGTCACAGAGTTCTTCAAGGATGGAGTGTTTGTTCATGACCAAATGCAGTTTCAAGAATTTGTGGAGGAAGTTAGTGATATTTTAGAACACATGGTGGAAGAGGATGAGAATGAGGAAGAGGAGGATAGCGCCATAGAAGAAGAAATGGAAGAGTTTGAACGCGAAGTGATGAAAAGGTTTTCAGCCCCAGGAGCTAGAGAGAGAAAGAGAGTCGACAAGGAGTGGAAGAAGGAGAATGGACGAGGTCATGGTTGAAGTGAAAACATGGGTGGATCTGTCAGAAGTAGCTAAGAGGAGTCGTGGCAGATGAGGGGCCGTTCAGAGGGAACACTTCTTTTTGGACCACAGATACATGTATACATCTTTTTTTTTTACAGGATATTATTTACCACTTTGATCTGTTGTCCAAGTGATAATTTATGTGTCACTGTTTCTGGAAGTTTGGTATTTCACATGCACAATGATAGAGAAAGGGCTTACATCTACTGTACATCAGCTAATGTGTTTTGAGATGGACTTGAGAGAAAATGTCGCTGGTAAAGCTTAGTCTTTGTGTCCATAGCCAACTCTTAAAACCCCAACAACTAAGTTTTTGTTTGGGGCCGAGCACCTGCAGCTGATCATGAACACCCGCTCGTGTGAAAATATCTTCTGTAGACGGCGTTACGTTCTCCCTCTGCATAGAGGAGAATAATCCTGTTAGAGTTGGCTGCTTCTCTTCTTTAACTCTCATCTTTAGTATAGTGTTTCCCACATGCCGTCCTCATTAAATTGCTCTAGCATGACTTCAGTCATTAAGAGATTTTATACTGGGTGGTGTGAAACAAACGGGTGAATATTTGATAAGACGTTAGAAACGTGCTGATTTTGTTTTTGAATGTTTGTATATGCTGCAGTAGACGTGTTTATGCAGAAATATTTAGTTAACTTATCTAATATTGGCATAATAATAGACTTAAAACAACTGGTGGACGCATGAAATATTGACATGTTGAACATGTATGCCTATTTTCAGGTACAAAAAAAACAAACATGCTGTGCACTAAAATGTCTATCATTATAAAGGTAACTTATATTTATTAGATTTGTCGTGGCAAATGGATTTGAGAAAAGCTGTTTTTATTTGTTTACACACTAACCACTGAAATGTTCAGGAGCCTACGCTAACAGAATAGGTCACTGCAGAATCATACACTGTGTGGGCTTTGTATGTTAGGGTGTGTATTTTTGCCCATATTAGTATCATAAGGACAGAATAATAAATGTGATGAACAATATGGTGTCATGTCTTCTTTTTGCTGACCTCTGAACTTATTTTAACATCTTCATGGAGTGTTTCATTTACTTATCAGACAATGACTTCAGGTCTTTGTTCATGCTTCACCTGTGAGTCTGTTGTGTCTGTCAATCACTGTTCCTGTTTGAATTTAGGAACTGGAGCATCAGGTGGGTTAGATACTGAACTTTTTATGTGAATATTCTACCAGTACACTTATCCCTTACATCTAATAATAATGTAAAACTGCTGTACTGTGGTAATAACCAACATGTACCTATCCAACCATATCCTGCTTCCTCTGTGTAAAAGTACATTTTCAAGCAGAGTTAGGTTCCCTGTGAAAGGAGACGCTGTAAAACAGACCTGTGGATGTAAGTATATGACTTTACGGACCTTTAAGCACCACACTTTTTATTTTATGAACAAAACCTTAACCTTAAAAAGCATAACCTGCATCTACTCTCAGGACCAAATGCTGACTGAGTGTGTAGCCTCCAGCAGGCAATCAGGAAATTAAAAGTATCAATTACGTTTTGAAATACAGAAATGTCCCAATGTACAAATACACCTACAACACCAATCAGGAGACAACAAGCAGCATTGCCCCATGAAAAACCCTGGTGCCTTTATATCCCTGTATATACAGGAGCACTGATTTTTCAGTCCTTTCTGTAAACCATTAAATTTGTTAGTAGTTACTCTGTCACTTCAATGATGGCCAAGGGAGTAGGAGGAGGGGAGCTGTAGGCTGCTCTTTATGGTGTATGATGGATATAGATTGTGGGTTTGTGTGTGTCATACAGCTGAGACTAGAAAACTAGGTGTGTGGATACTTGGATGATAAAGCCATTGTGCTTGTTAGCACTAACTGCCTCCCTAATATGCCAGTTGTGCACATCCTGTCAGAGCTTCTGCTTAAATAATATCACTTTCCTGAGATGAAACCCAGGTGCCACATTCTCAAAAGTTTGTGCAACACAAACTCTATAATTAGACCTGATTTGCTGCTTTATTTTTGCTCTGCAGTCTCGCCCACAGTTTCACTTCGTAGAATGTTAATGAAGAACTGTGTCAGTCAGGAAGAGTTTGTAAAAGAGTTCACAACATCTTTGTTTGCCAGGCAGAAAAAACAGCTTGGATTCATATTAAAATGGGTCTCATCTGGATACTGCATTGGCTCTTGTTTGCCATGACCATATAATTAGGTGTTAGTCAAACGTGTGGTCAAAAGGAAACTTCTGTTCTTTTAAGTGGGCAGTTTTAAAGCATGCAGTCTTGCTCTACTTCTAAGTCAAGTACTTAAAAGAATGTTTTTAAATACTCTTGAGCACATTATAATCAGTTACACTTCATGATGACAGGATATAACTTTACATTCAATGTTTGTTAAATGTTCCACAGAAAAAATTAGTTTATCGGGAAGATAGAGCTGCTACCCTGCACTTTAGTGTTGTGTTGTGTAGTGGTGGTTGTTTTCACTGTGCATGTTTAATTAAAACAGTGGCAGTAGTAACAGTCTCTGAGGCTTAAAGAATACATGGCTGCTTGTTGTATATGTGGAAAGGTCCATGTTTCCACTTGCAAGAAGAGTTGAAGTAGGCTCAGTGGCCACTAGATGGTGACAGAACCAAAGATCCTTGTGCCAAACCACTTCTGTTGTTGCATAAATTGGTTAACTGGTGCATGTACTGGTGGTGCCAGCTTGCCTCTGCCTGGTCTGGCCACACATATAAACAAGGACATCAAGTCCTGGCTCGTCCACTGTGGCTCTCGGGATTGTTTCTAGTATCTGACTCATGCATCTTCCTGTTTTCCTGCAGAATGCTGATGACCCTGCTGCCGTTTGCCAACGTTTGAGCTCATTTGACAGGGACAATGATGGAATACTCAGCTTCCTGAAGTTCTGGCAACCGATTGGGCAACTTGCAAGCAAGCATGTTGGGTTCAGCCAATAAAATGTCCTCAGATAGTGTGTTGCAGCTCCATGTGTGTTTCTGTCTTATCTGTGTGACACAAAGTTAGTGGGGAAAACGGGAAATCAGCCAAATGGAAGACACCCTAAAGTCTGCAGGATGTTGTATTTTATCAGTAGACTGGTTTTCTTTTCACTCTGTACTCTCTCCACCATCTGCCAAATTGGCACACTCAGTGTCAGAGAACCCTTTCAGCAGTATTAAAACCAGTCCAAGCTGTTTCCCAGCACACAAACACCCACACACTCTCACAGCTGCTTGTATTTACAGGTCTGCCGGAGGATTAAAGTATGGGAACGCTTTGTCTGTGAGCCTAGAATGCGTGTGTAAGCACTATGTATTCTTAGCTTGAAAGCAAACCTAGGGTGGTTCATCATCTCTCTCCAGGTGGTGTGGTGTTGGTAGAGCAAGATTTCATGGTAAAATCTAAATGGAACGTAAAAAAAACTCTTGTGTTCCTCGCTGCCCAGGCCTTTACAGTAGCTTGTTCATAAGTCCCCTCTCTATCTATCTTTCCATTCTTTGTACCAGTGAGAAAATTGTTAGGGTGTGGCGTAAATACATCTGTTGGGAAAGCTTTGACCAAACGCGCACTTAGACACGAGTGCGCGCTTGTTCCTACGTGTTGAGAAACTGTGGGCCACAAAAAAAAAAAAAAAAAAAAAAGGTAAGAGCTGAATGTGCATGGATAAAACTGATGAACTGAATTTTTGTGCTAAGCTCTACTAATAAAGACTTGCTCTGTTTACTTGAACATCGTAAATGTTTGTAAGAAAACGCTGCTTAAAGCTGCTGTGTTGCTCAAGCTGCGCCTCTCTCCACATTCCTCCTCTCCCAGGCACACGCCCTATGACAATGAAAAAAAAGTTGGCTGCAGTGAAAAGTTAAATCACGGAAAAGATATGCGTTACTGGTTAATCTAGCCCACGACTGAAGAGGAGGATCTTCGAGAAAGAAAGGAGAGTAGTTGCTGAAATAGTTTGTTGCCCTTTCTTCCCTGTCCTAACGGTGAGTTTCTACTTTTCTGACTTTGTATTTTTGTGCTTCGCTCTTTATTGTGGCTGCACATTGTAGTTCAAGTGTTAGTTTTTCTGATAAAGCCGAGCTTTTCTAGGCAAGCTAGAAACGATCCGTTTAGCTATTTTCTCCACAGTGTCATCAATTTTGTATCATTTGTGGGCATCTCTGTTGTCATTGCCCAGCTTAGTGGCCACAGAGATCGGGTTCTCCTCGGTAATCTAACCCCAAAACCTTTACACTTCCAGAGAAACTAGAGTCCTGAGTTTACTTATTTATTTGCAATATGTGTATCGATCCTGCCTCTGGTCACTCTACAAATTGTCAGAAGTAGTTAGGGCTAAATGCAAATATAGGATACGGGCAAGCCCGACATCTCCGTTACGCACGGAACTGGCTTGCATATGCACCGAGCTGGTTATCTAATTAAATGGTCATACTGTGATCATTGTCCGATTTGGAGTTTGTCGGGCTTAATTGTTACGATACTGCAAGTCCCCCAGCTCCCCTACGGGAGATTCGACTGGTTTCAACCTGTTCTAGTTAATGACGCGGAGGAGAAAAACCGACCTGGGCGATGACAGGTAGCATTCTCATGGAGGAAGTGAGTCAGTCACACCTAGTGCACACGAGACGACCAGGGTGGAGCTGACCAGTCACTGGGATTGATCAACGCTTAGGAACTATCTGGTGTCAGTGCACAATAATGACCCGGGTTGTTTGTGGTCACTGGAAGTCATACAAACTTCCAGTGTGAAGTTCCTGTGCTGTCAGCGTGTCAGCAGCTGGGGTGGTGGGGGTTGGACTGGGTGGACTGGGTGGCCCTGACTAAGCTGAAAACTGGTTTGTACTTGTCAAGCCTAAAGCAAACTTCAGCACTCACTGTTAGGTCTAACGTCTGCACAATACAAATACTACTTAAACGTGAAGTCAGTAAACATGTTAACTGAGAGATTTGTTGTTATTACCAAACACAGAGAGACTAATGGGTCTTTAATTCACAGTTCAAACTGTGGCACATACATTTATTTAGCCTGTCCTGTTGAGGAGGGAAACCTTTTCAGGGGAGATCTGGCCTGCACTGCAGCATAATCAAATAATACAAAATCAGACAAACAGATTAAACAAGTGATAGTGCTAAGTAGGCTATGCTAAGCTGAGCTATAGAGACAAAGGAGACATTTCCCTTCTAATTTTAAATGGTCTTGAAATCTGCCAGAGAATCAGATATTTTTACATGACGTTTAATTAACCAGCTAGTGCAGCAGTTTCCAGTCTGTAGATCAGGATTGCCTAAGAGGTGACAAGATATACTGTATGGGATGGATTGTAGAAGATGTTTCAAGCCAAAATGACTGGGAACTGCCGAACTAGCAAGTGTGTGTTGCAACATTCCAGTAAAATGACGCAGAAAAAATACAATGTAGTGGGCCTCACATAAGCATTCATTACACTTAAGTCATTATAATCATACCCTCCACGCTCTGAATCACATGCAGTACATGTGCTGTGAGGCTGAATGAGAGTGCCGTGTGTACTCAGTACACACTCACAGTGAGGCCACCTCTCGCTCTTATCAGGCAAACCCTACCACATGTTCCTTCCTACCCAGTTGTAATTCTGTGGCCCTGATGGCTCCAATTCTGACTGAAGCCTTCTTGGTTTAATGTGCATCTCATTACACGGGGAAGCGTTGGAAATGGATGGTGGCCTGTTGCATTATGGGCTGCACAGATACAAAAACAGACAATGGTCCGTCTGCTTCTCTGCTGTTGTTTGTCTTAAGGTGTTGGGGCGGTTATAGTAACATTTTAATTATATGTGTGTGTGCTGGCATGGCAGGGAGACGTGAAACCAAATCCAGGTTTTGGGTTCCTGCTCTCACTCACTCAGTAATTAGGTTAATGCAGTGTAAGTCCTACATGGTTTGGCCATTTTTAGATGTGCATGTGTGTGTGTCTCTCTATCTTTGTGTGTAGACCATGTACAGAGGTAGTGTGATCTTTGAGGTGTGTGACATCTGTGTCCAATGAGAAATTTACCAGCTTCTACAGTTACCCCAACAACAGTACCCCTGGCATGCACTGTCATTACTCTTCCTGTGGCCACCGCTGCCTCATGGTAGTTTCCACTACATACTGGAAATCCTGTAGCAAGGTTTCAGCCTGCTCTGCTGTGACACTTAGCAACTCTACTCAAGTAGCAATTGCATTGGAAATTTACTGGACCTTCTGCTGAACTGTGGCAGGATACATTAGGTTGCAAAGCAGCGACTCTATACTGTACATTTTAACACAGTTTATGTAACTCTCAGTATGTCACAGTTCCATACAGTTTTTGCAGTAAGTATACTTGTAATCAACACGTTGGTAATGTATTGGAAAACAATAAAATACAATATGTACTGATGTCTGTACTGCATGTCATAATATGTTGCTGGTTAGAATACCCCAGTTCCATATGATGTATGTTTATCTATCCATCCATTATCTATACAGTTTATCCTGTAAAGGGTCATGAGGGATGTTTATATGGCACAATAACTGTAGGCAATATACATCCTATATGCTGTGTGCTAATTGTCATAGTAAGCAGTTTTTACATCTATACAAAAAAACGATAGGCCTACTAACAAGCAGTAATACGTCCAGTGATGGATGCTGATCACACTTCTAAATGTCACTGCCAACTAAATATGCATAAAAATGATTTAATGTTTTTGTTTCTTTGTTTGTTGGGGGTGTTTCTGAATCTATTTTACCCCTGTCGACAATTAGTTTTAACTTGTTGTGGCTCTCTGAGCAGCATTTTCACTTCCTTCGTGCATGCTATTCTGAAAGAATATTATACATTAACGGCACACTCAAAAATGTTTTGACAGTTTTGATTAGACTTTATTTTGTCATTTTTCTCTAGTGAAAACACTGCACACTCAAAATCTACTTAGAATTAGTGTGGTGTGGAACAGCTTGTGTTATTGAAAATGTCACTGTCGATTAAACTTCAGAAAGACAGAGCAAAAAGACTGAATATACAGTATATACATATGGTTTCTGAGATCGTCCTGGAGCTCTCACATCACCACCAAGAATTTATTTAAATTTGTGCCGCTGTGAGTAGCTCCTCTTTTTCATGTGTTCATTGCCTTGTGAGATAATGAGCCTTTTTCACCGGAGACATTTGTCACAGTAGGAGACGTGCAGGTGTTACTAATGACACGATGATGGCTCTGTTCTATTCAAGTGTCCCAGAGGCTTTGGCAGTGTGACAGTGAGTCAGCATGCACGATATGTGAAGCAGCTAAATGGAATTCAGCCACCATTTATTTATTTATTTATTTATTTTATTTAAATAAAATGGATCAGTGAAGTTAGTATGCATATTGTCTTTTTAATCACTTTTCCAGTGTGTATTCCAAATATCTGTGAATTGGCATATAGTAGGAAATTGAGGTGTAGTTATTGTTTTCATATTAGATTTGACATCCGATGAAAGCAAAAATATATTTTCATATTTTTCCTGTTCTTCTTGTGCTGTCCAACTAGCAATTAATCAAATCTTACGCATGTATGAATCAGATGTTCAGCTGAGGGTTTAGTTTCAAGTAGCTGATGGCAGCGTTAGATATTTGCATTCAGATGAGTTTAATTGATTGGTACTTTTAACTGGCTCTACAAAGACAGGTACAGTATGCAGCGTATTCCCGCAGTGTGTTGGGATGTATGCTGCAGCAGACGGACAGCAGGCAGTAATCTGAACCCGTGGCCTCCCGCCGGCTTCTGGGGATCAGATGTCCATCGCCAGAGATCGCAGCTCCCATTGTGCTTACCTCAGAGACTCCCCTCCTCTCTCTCTCTGTTTACTTCAGAGAACATCCATACTTGGTTCTTTCCTCTACCCCCATTTACCCCCACCTCTTCCTTTATGCTGACATCACCTGCGTGTCTCACCTTTATGTTCAGAGGACCTGTCCCAATATATCAGTTTCTAATACAGTTTAAACACATGATCTAACACCGAAGAACTGCAAATTAGAAGCACTCAGTTTAAATGCATGTACTAGGATTCCACAGAATTTAAATTTTTAAACTTGACCAGTCACCTGTGCGCAAGCTTTCCATTGTTAATTACATTACTCATTTCTGCAATCCAAAAAATCTTAAATACCTGAAATAATCCTTTTATACCCCCAAGACACAATGTAAATATGCTTTCATTTTAACAAAATTTTTGATCTGTTAGTGTAACAGATGGCGTAAATTTAGCTAGAGTTGGTAACCTAATTAACATGCTGTCTGAATGTCAAAGATACTGCCATATCTTTTCTCACTCAGTTTTCCTCTCTGCTTTTTGTCCTTGCCTTTCTTTCTTTAGATATGGAGGCAGCCATTAAGACAATAGTGACCACATTTCTAAGTTCTGCCAGAGGGAAGGAGAACCTAGATTCCAAAGCCTTCCAGAATCTGGTAAAGAAAAACCTGAGTGGCATCATGGAGGTAAGGCCCTACAGTACATATTTCTTTGCTATTCACTATCATCCTTTGCTGTAAACAACCCATCAATATATTGAGAATAGTTTTTTTATGCTGCCCCGGGTGTTCGCCGCAGCCGGGGGCGTTATGTTCTTGGGTTGTCCAGCTCGTTCTTGTGAACGCAGTACCTCAGGAACACCTTGAGGGTGTTTCTTTAAATTTGACACACAAACATCCACTTGAACTGATTAGATTTTGGTGGTCAAAGGTCAAGGTCAGTGACCTCACATCTGTCCCATTCTGTGAATTTAAGTTGGCAGAGTCTGATTCTGTTGTTTTTTTGTTTTTGTTTTTTACTTTGTTTTGCACAGCGTAACCACGATACTGCTAACAGTATTCTCTGCTTCTATCTATCCCTTTGTATTCAGGATACAAACAGCTCCTCAGCCATTAAGGAGATGCAAAAAGGACTGGATGAGAACAGCGATGGAAAGGTCAGCTTCCCGGAATACCTCACTCTGATTGGCTATGTGGCCAACACCTTCAGTCAGAGCAAGAGTGGATGCAATGCAGATGCATCATAGATGTTTGTGAAGCTGCAATGTTTGAGGGATCAGAAATGTATCATCTTTTTTCCTAGTATCATCTCTCATTTCTAAGTGTTCCATCATGTATCCATTTCATCTTGACAGTCCATAATCCTTCTCATCCTTCTGCACAATCAACAAACTGTATGATACCCTGAACTACACCTTTAAGGTGTGTTTATGTTAACCCTTTTTCTGTCATATTGTGCTCCACTATCAAGGATACAGTGAAGGACTCTGAACTGGACATGCCTTTTTTATACCAATAATACAAAAAGTGCAGTTTTCAAAATAAAACTTTATAGTATATTGTGTGTGTAGTTATTTTAGTATGTCATCATTTCATTTGTATTTGCATTTACATAAAGTTCCATTATAATTCAGCTGAAAACCCCAAAATACATGTGTACAAAGGTTTCTCTGATATGATTTGACAGTCCCACAGGCACTTCAGTGCTCCTTCCATATCTACATCAACACTTATACCATGACCTAGTCCTAATCAAGTTCAGCAGATTTTAGATGTATTAATTATTGCAACTAGATCATATATACATACACATGGTGCATTCAAGTGTGCTACCTCACTCACAGACAAAATAAACTGCAGCGACAACACTTAAACAAGAAGCTGCACTTGGCCATGACAGCAGATTTAAAAATACATTTCATGACATCTTGTAGTGGTTTTGCATTCGTGTTTTTATAATTATCTAGATCATTTATGTGTATTGTACATGGCAGCATATGTTCCCTACTTTTTATACATGACCTTAAGGGTTTCAAGTATGAATGCTTATCCAAATGTGTCTGTAGTGAAGATTTTTCACGTTATGTGTATGCATGTGATGTGTTTTGTAGCTGGAGGTGAGGTGAATGGGTTTTGCCAAAGTGTGCACATATCCTGGAATTCAAACGTGCATGTTATGCAGTCTCTCTATGGGGATTTCTCTGCTTGGATGTCAGGTGTGATGCCTTTATTGACTGGTTCTATACTAATCCTCCTCCTGTAAACTTCCTACTCCTACACTTACCCCAACATTCTGCTGCTTAAAACATGACAGAATTGGAAAATGATAAGTTAGTTGTCTTTGTCATGGTACAGTATTTATATAAGCACTTCCTCAAAGCATTTGTTTTGACATAAAGTATAAAATGGTTGCACAAAAGGTTAGCAGGTTAATCCACTGTCACAATAGTGGGCTGTTACATACTACATTGTGTCATTTCCAGTGCCCAACAGCACTTTGTGTTCAGGAAATGCTGTCAGTCTAGAGAGCTGAGCTCAATGTTGCAGACTAATTTCATGTCTCTCAAGCTCATTATTTACACTCAGTGTAAAGGAACTTGTGAGTTATTTGATTTCCATGCACACTAACATCCCAGAATAAGAAGATTATATTTAATGTATGTGTGCCTTGCGGTGTGTCTTGAGGTTATATTAAAGGTACTTTAGTTTAATTAATGTGTTGCGGTTACAGCACCATTAGTACATTTGGTCAATATGCCATCTTTATCTGAGCGCAATGGGGAGCACGTGGATCTTACCTGTGTCTGTTAAGCAGATAGCGGATGCCTGATGCTTAAACAGTGAGCGAGCAGAGGAGAAGGGGGAATGTTGAGGGTGGGAAGGAGTAGAGGAGCAACAGGTGGAAGGAGGGAGATGAGGAAGGGAGAGGTGGGATGGGTGGAGTGAGGGATGTATTTAAGACGATGCTCTCCTCATCTTTCTCATCAGTCGACATTGCCTTCTCTTTCTGCACCTGACGAGCAGCCCAGCACTAGTCCTCTACTCAGGTAAGACACAAGGATAGGAGGATGTAGAGAGCAGATTTTTATGCTGGCCACTGTGCCTCCACATTTTTCAGAGGATGTTTCTGACTGCTTTTACTTTTAAAATTAGAATTTCAGAGGTTCGACTAATTCTAAGTCCTTGTTCAACTCTACAGCAAAGACAGTGACCCCACCGATAACTCCACTGTATAATGTGATTAATTTAATTTACAACAAAGTGGTTTGAGAGTCACAGCTTTTTGTTCAGTGATAACTTATGGAACCTTTATTATTATCTTACTACTGGTACAACAGCTAGATAGAACTTTCCAAAAATGTGTTTTTGATCATTTCTATGCTGCTGATTCAAAACAGTTTGGAACATTGTGCCTATGAGGACAGACTGATGTAAGAAGTGATTGACACAGAGGAAAAGTCTTCACAGTTCAGAGGTGATGTAGGTTCAGGAAAGGCAAGTAGTTACACCTGTCTCCAGTGTTTTCCGCCATCTGGTGAAGCTAAAGTAAAAGCCGGATCAGATTGCCTTTGTGTGCCCAGGTTACAGCTCATCCTCTGGTTTGGCTGTTTTACCAGCTTTGAGTTTCACTCTTATCAGCTGCCTCACATGTCCGGCTGCTCACTATGTCCTGAATCCCAGAGGTCCTCTTGCTGGAGCAAATAAACAAACAAATTGAGGATCAGTTTATCAGCAGCAAAATCTTATCAGGACCACTGGCAGGGAGGAAACACTCCTGATGAGGAAGCCGTTACAGCTAACTTGACTGCAGGGCTGTGCAGGGTTTCCGATTCTGCTAAATAGCTCTCCTGTCACTAGAAAGATATGCTTAAAGACCATCAGTTTGTAGCTGTTGATTATGTGCTATCTATCTGCCAGCCGGTCTGGCAACATGTCCAACAGAGAAAGAGAGAAACTGTGTGTGTGTGTGTATGTTTTTGTATGGGAAAGAGCAGCAGAGTGAGGTTTGAACCTGTATTGATTTGTGGCGGACTTGTCCTCCACGCTTGAGAGAGCAGTTTGTAGACACAAGTTCTGATATAGACATGCTCTTGCTGTCTCCTCCCTCCCTCCCTTCCCTTTGTTTTATCCTTCTCTAGAATGTCTTTTCCAAACTCAGAGAACGCCTCCACCCTAGAGAGCGCCATGCAGCTCATGATCCAAACTTTCCATAAGTACTCTGGAAATGAGGGGGACAAATATACACTGAGCAAGGCTGAGCTCAAAGAAATGCTTACCACAGAGCTCGGCAACTACCTGGGGGTAAGGCGACAGCTCTACCTACTTAGTTGTATGTGTATACAATGTGTATAAAATAGACCCAGCTTATATTTCAGTTTGATATCCTCATGCACACAGAATGTCCAGGACAAGGAGGCGGTGGAAAAGGTTATGGCAGACCTGGATTCCAACAACGACGGGGAGGTAGATTTCACAGAGTTCATCATATTGGTTGGAGCTCTTACTGTAGCCTGTAATGACTTCTTCCAGGACTACAATGAAAAGCAAGAGAAAAAGCAACAGAAGAACAAATGAATCCACCCTCAGCACAAAGACGCCCGCTCTGCAAACGCACAAGCTCCAGGGAGGAAAAAGCTTAGACAGGAGAGAAGGATATCCTGTAATGGACTTGTGTGCACAAATACACACATACACACACACACACACATGCATATACATATATATACAAGTCTAATAGTCAAATGTTGGGTGTGTATTTGTCTACAATTGCCCCATCAATCCACTGCAAATTGTTTTACTACAAAGTGAAATCTGGAGAATTTAAGTCACTTTCAACATTGTTGAATATGTGAATACAGCCACTTTATTTCTCTGTTCATGTATTTTGTAACACATTCAAGCAAACCTATTTCCACCGGAAAGAATAAATGTGATCTTTATTCAAACATTACAATGTCGGTTGTACTTCAATACAGGAGAGAAGAAGAGCAGGGACACATGATGGACACCAGGTGGCAGCAAGTGGCTCTCGACTGTAGCTTTGTGAAAAGATTAGTGCATTACCTTTACTTCATGGGCTTCATGTGGATTTAAAATCGATCACTGGCCAATCACAGGGAAGATATAAATATTTATGAAGTATACAGGAGGTTGTAATTAACTGTTGAACATTATTCTGTCTAAAAAGCCCACATGATTATATGAACATGTATGGACTGCAACTACATTCCTGTTTTTACAGCAGAATAGTGAGACCTTGGCAGGGCCCTACACCCACGATTGTTTAAAAGCCCTGCTTCCTAAAAGAAAAAAAACATTGTGTTGTGTGTGTGTGTGTGTGTGTGTGTGTGTGTGTGTGTTTGTGAGTATATAAAAAGGAAGTCACAAGCCTTAAAATGAGAAAACCAGGAAAGTTTCCTTCTTTCATGCTATCCTGTGCTATAAGATTAATGGGAAGTCTGGGTAATACAGTAATTTACAGGCTATAAATTATATTTGTGTGTGTGTGTGTATGTGTGTGTGTTTTACAGAGAGAGTTAAACATGGAACACAGACAGATACAATGACAGACACAAGCGTTGATTAATCTGAACCTACAACCTTTATTGGACCGGTTAAGGTGTGCACAGGAGCAGATTAGAGACTCAGGAAGGAGAAGGTGAGAGCTGAGTGCGCATAATGAGGGAGGAAGTGAGAGGAAAGGAAGGAGAATGGAAAGGTCAAAAAGAGAGAAAAAAGAGTGGATAGCAGCACTTTGTCCATGTGGAGCCGTGCGGCCTACAGTTTTCACAGGTCTCTGATAGGCTTTTCATACTTGTTCAGGTTCTGCTGGGTATCCCCCTGAGTAATCCCATCCTCCAGAGGCAGAAAGACACACACACATACACACAGCTCCCAGTCCAGAACTGAGTTGAGCTGCAGACTTGGCCACACGATCATAAAAAGCTGTGGAAACTCACAGAGAGTGACAGTGACTGAGGATTAGACAGCTTTTTTTTTTCTCAAAGATTCCTATGCAGTCACAACACTGACAGCTTCTCCTCCTTTATTCCTCCTCACTATCTGGATTGTGCTTGGCCTTGTGGTGGTCAGATTATCCATTTTGTCATTCTGTTGTACCTCAGCTGCAATGTCATTAAAAAGTCAAACATATTTACACTATTTAACATTGTATACTGCAATTTTCTTCATAATTTCTACTTGTGAATTTGCACTTCTAACTTATTGCCTGATATGGGTGTTTCAGTGGTTTCCATGTTGTAATTTCTTGCTTGTTTACTACAAATTTAATTCATCTCCTTGTGCTGTGGAAATAAGACAGCCAGTCCATGAGAAAAATGAAAACTGCCTTAATGAATAGATGTTTAGAGACTGTTATCATAACTATAACTGACTACATGTCAGAAATGTGTTTGTCCATGGACAACTAGATTGGTAGTGGTGGTGGTTGGTGGTGGTGGTGGGGGGGGAGACGGACGGACAGACACATACTCTTCTGAACATTGTATCTGACACGTGTGACAATGCATTAGGTACAGGGCACACATTCTCAGACTCATACATGTATACCAATGACCTTAATGTTACGTACATGAACACAATCCACTGCAGAAATATGTATGGAGGAGAGGAGAGGAGTAAACAAAGTAAGGAGGAACAGGTGACACTCTGATGTGACAGAAAATAACCAGCTGTGAAATTACATATTAATACAGATAATAGCTTCATTTCCATATTAAAATCCACATCATTCCACCAGTATATTTTGATTTACATGTAACTCTTTTCCATATTAATATTTGCCTCAGAGCTCTAAATATTCCATCTTGGGAAAATCATCTTCCACTGACCACTATTCCACTATCTTGGCTCAGATTTCTCAGGAGCTAGACTCATTTCACTGCAGCTGTGCGCTCTGGCACAGCAGGCTACTGTCATTCTCTACTTACTGTGCACAACTCTCTAAGCAATAAACTGTCCATGTGTAATCTATGACTTTATCCCTGTGACTTTCATTTAATAATGCAGCCTGGCTCTTTATGTAATGCAAATACCCTGTATATATTTTCCATCGCAGTCTTATACACACTGTGTGTAATGTGTGCACCACAGGGTGTGCAGTACCTTGGCTTTTCTGTCCCTTTCATGAGCTAACACATAGAGAAATCTTAATAATACAGTACATCTACTCAATGCTATACTGTGATACGTTGCTATGCTATGATAAAATACACTCAATAGTGGATCTCTGAAAAAATAAATTAAATGTATAATGCATACCTTGATATGAACCTCCCTTCCCTTTCAGATTTGCTCCTACTGACATCAATCAGTATTGTGAATGAGCGAGGGATGTCATAGTTGAGGGCGGGAATGTCATGTGTCAAGTCAGTCAGCATCAAGGGGAAAGTATTGATTGCTGGCCTAAGGTTCAACAAGGAGTAAATCATAGCATCCTGGCTGAAGAGGAGAGCAGAGAGGGCCCCTTCCACCAGAAACGGGAGGTCACTCCATCAAACATCTGGAGGAAAAACTGCAGGTCAGAGTATGATGGTGTTTAGCTTTTTCTTCATACAAGAAAAACTGTTGTTTGTTGCAAACAACATTACTATAAAGGTAATGGGTGTGATTGCTGTTCAGTTCTAGTTCTGGTTCTAGTTCCACAGATAGAGTAAAACCCAGACTTGCTCCCCCAACCCCCACCCCATCCCATGTCCGACCGTTGTCCTGCTGTGATGACTAGTTGGGGGGGAGCTGTCTGTCAACGTGCTTGTGGCTGAGGAATGGTCAGCCTGGAGTGATGGTCTTGGCTGTGTAATTCTGGAAGAGTGGCTGCAGGAACATGCCCATTGTGCCGAACACGCACACAAACACAAAGATCCACAGGAAGAGGCGGTCGATCACCATGGCAACATACTTCCAGTCCTCGCTTACCTGTGGGATGGGAAAGTACAAAAAAGGGTGTGAGGATGGGGTGAAGAGAAAGATTAAGGTGAGCAGAATCGCATTCTCTCACTCCCCACATTCTCATTCTCTTGCCGTCTGTCTCTCTGCATTTAACTACTCAGCGGGTTAATGGAGGTGAAGGGTTAATGTGAGCGGAGACTTGTTTGGCCACAAAGCTCTGATGAAGAGTGTAAGTCAAGGAGGAGGAGAAGGATGTGAGAGATGAGAGAGAGTGATGGAGGGCAGAGAACGGGAGGGTGTGCTGGCACTGTAATACCAGTGAGGATGGCTTGTGGAGGAAGGGGAAGAGGGGGAAAGGAAGGGCTGAGGCAGGAGAGGGAGGATTTTAAAGCAGTCTGCATGACGACAGTGTGACGTAGGCTAATGAGAAGATTGTTAACTTGTTTGTTTCATTCCAGGAGAGAAGCCTGGTCTCCTAAGATGGCTTGAGGAAAAGCGATAAAAAACACCCTCCTCATGCCACAGACTTCCAGCTCTTTTCCACTTGTACTCCTTCTCTATGCACATGTTATGCTGCTGCTATAATTACACACCTGTGTTGAATATTCAGGGGGCTTTGATTGCGTCACCAGATCTGTCTCCTTTGTTTATGCTCTGGTGTATTCCCCCATCCATTTCAAATGGCAGAGCTAAACGGCATGACCGTACAGCTCTGCCATCACTACACCATGATATGGCACTGAGAGGACAGATGTGTGCTAATCAGGATGCTTTTTATGGTCAGTAACACTTTCACATAGAAGAAGATGGTATGATGTTATCCACACATCGAGAAATTATTATTTTAATATGAAGAAGAGCCCAAGTGACACATTGACAATCTGACATAAATAACTGATCTGTTTATCACAAAATATATTGGTACAAAGGAGAAATTACACAGCAGTACACTGCAGCAGTAAGGTGTTTGTTTTGTGTTAAACCAGTGACATTGATTATCACATTATAAAGTTCAAATAGCAAACAGTCTTTTTAGACACACAACAATATTAGCATTAACTTTGAGTTTCTGGTCACTTGAGAAATGTAAATCCAATATTCGCACCCCTCTTAACCCTGTTTTGTTCTCTGCTAACTCCAGAGGGAAATAACTGGCTCTTTAGCAGCTTAATGCTCCACTGTGTTCAACAGCTTGTTGCTGGCTGTGTCTGTCTGCTGTTCAGTGCTGAGCAGGTAGTGAAGACCGCAACTGAAAACAGTTGCTTATCACAGCTTGAGGCAACACTAATGAGAGCTTTGAAGAAAAACAGTGAGGTTGCAGGTCATAAAACCAAAACAATGAGCTAAATCAGAGCCTTTTAGGTAAAGGTTACTAAACAAATAGGGATACAGAGCTTAAGGGCACTACAAGGTTGGGTGGCCATTCTCTGTGGCTTCATGACTGAGTACATTTGATCCATAACGTGGAATAAAAATTACAAAGTGTTATAGCAGCTTTAAAAAATAAAATAAAAATTAGAGTTATTACTGATATCTTGAAAAACATTTGATTGGATATATTAAGAGTCTAGTGTTGGCCTGACTCTGATAAGGAGCAACAGAGTCGATTGCTGTAGTGTTGTGCAGTAAACAGTGCTACACAGACGATACAATACTCACACTTTGATCATCATCCTCACTCTTCATGTGGTTGGCAATGAAACGTACTCCTTCCACAGCCTCCTCAAAACCTGGGCAGGCTTGAGCCGGCAGCGATTGGGTCAGAGCAGAACCCCCTGCTCCTTGCTTCCCCTTTGGCGAGATTCCAGAGCCCCCTTCCCGGCCCTCTCTCGTCCTGTTCAGAGCATCCATGGATCCCCCTCCTGCACTTCCCAGATCCCCTCCAAACTGTTTCACAGAAGCCCGGTTTACATAGCAGGTACAAGGATCACTGTCCTTCTTGCCAAAAAACCCAGTGGAGGTTCCCCCTCCATTCCCACCAGCACCGCCCAGACCAAGTCCCACCATCAAGGCCCCTGCCTCCCCACTGCGCCCACCCTCCTTCTGCTCCTGGGCCCGTCTTCTTTGGCGTAGCCTCTGACGCTCACAGCTGTTCCTGGGCTGGCGCATAAAGAGCAGGGCAGGAAGCTTGTTGAGGAACACCAGTTTAACCCAGGGGGGCATGGTGTGTGTGGTAGGTGAGCGATGATGCACGTTGAGCACACACACACTGGTGACAATAGAGAAGGTGACTAGGACCATGGTGAACATCAGGTACTTCCCCACCAGAGGGACGTCTAGTGAGGTGGGTGGGACAATCTTTGAAATCAGAAGCAGGAACACAGTGAGAGCCAGCAGCACTGAGATGCAGAGCGTCATCTTCTCTCCACAGTCTGAGGGCAGGTAGAAGACCAGGATTGCCAGTGAGGTGATGAGCACACATGGTATGATGAGGTTTATGGTGTAAAAAAGAGGCTTCCTGCGAATGATAAAATCATACGTTATGTCCACATAAGAGGGGTCAGCTGGGTTCTCGTTTCGTCTCCCTGGCAGGGCTATGATATCCCACTCCCCGCTGGGTGTGAAGTCATCCATGCTGGCCACGTCAGAGCGGAGCACCAGATCGATCTCAGTTCGATCATAGGTCCAGGAGCGGAAGCGCAGTGTGCAGTTCTGCTGGTCGAAGGGGAAATGCTTGACCTCGATCTTACAGGCTGATTTATAAATGGCTGGGGGCAACCAGAAGATACTGCCATCGTAGGAGACCACGGCATTAGAGTAGAACGACACCTCGTACACCCCATCAGCACTGAGAGACAGGTTAAGAGCAATAAGTGGAGTGTCAGACATAAACAGAAACCTCTGTGATGAATTAATTATTTAACAACTGTGTAAACATAAAGCATGAGAACGAGAGGCCGTGAGTCATACAGAACTCTACATACAGCAAAAACAGAGATTCTGAGGCTACAAGCCTCATCCAGCCTCTGCAAACCTTTCTGCAAACACATGGGGATCAGATGAACACACAGTCTAGACAGGAACAGAGCTCACGGGTGAGAGAAAATATCAGACACTTCAGGAAGAAGTCAGCTGATAACATTAAAGTTGTAGATTGAATTTCCATTGATTTCAAGATTTTGGCAAGAGAACAAATTTATTATGGCTAATGATGGTGTATAATTCTTTTTCTAACTGTATTTATATGTTGACCCAGGGTAAGTGGGATTAACAAGATCATTTTATCCAGTGAGGTGGGTCAGGGCTCTTTTACTCTTTAGTAAAGCCAGGACCGAGGCAAGGAGTGAGGAGCCCAGACAGATCACTATACGCTGATGATCTGATTTACCTACTGTAGACTGACACCCACTTTCCATTACATTAGGACAAGTGGTCTGCAACATCTTTATCTCATTCAGACATGCAAGCAAATGATCTTTAAGACACAATCAGTTTCATGTGTTCTTACTGTGCATGTCTTCAGCAGACATGGTTTAATGCGCCTGTGTGTGTCTCTGACATAAGGACAGGAGAATGAGTGGGTGACTCACTTGTTGTAAAGCACCACATCAGGCAGCCAGATGTGTTTTGAGGGCAGCCTGACCTTCCTCATTCCATCAAACTCCTCTGGGACCCACGTCAGACGATAGTCCTGCCACTCCTGAGGGCCAGTGAACACAATGTTTAGTCACTCATCTCCCAATCACACACCAGCATGAAGACAACCTGAGAGGCCCAGAGAGGAGGAGGCTTGTCTGTCTGTCTGTCTTTTCACCGGTCAGTCAGTCAGTGGTGCATATGAAGCCATATAAGTCTGGGCTGTGCTTTACTGACTTTTTTTTTCATTTTATTTATCTTTTAACCAGGTGAAGCCTCATTGAGATTGACATCTCTTTTACAAGTGACCTAAACACAGCATCCAAGTGTTACATAATAAATATCAAGTCAAATCCAAAGTACAGCTTAGATGCATAAGCAAATACACTTTAAAATGATGAACAATCACATTGACCGACAGTACTGTTTCCTCTGGCCTTTAAGATGGACTTAAATTGTCCCATAGTAATCAGAACTGCTTTTACCTGTTGGCCAAAAAGGGAGAGCAGAGCTCATGTCAGGCCTGACCGTACATGGTCTTTTAAACACACCCAGCCACAAACCAACCAGCATGATTAAAACGACATCTACAGTTAGGCTTTGCCTGTGTGTGTGCATGTGAGTGTATCACAGATACTGCTATGTTGCCTTTGGGTTATGGTGTTCTCCATGTTGCGGCTCAGTCACTGACACTGCCACCTTGAATCCTCTGTGACCTGTAACAGCAGTTCTGTTTGGCTAGTCTATGTTATAGCCATGTCAGAGCTGTATGTTGTCTGCAGTAACTGTGATACATTATGGTCATTACAGTTTGTCTTGGCTCAGGACAGCTGTCCTTGGCTCCACGCTCACCGACATCAAGGGATCCATGAATGATGGCTATTTTATGCTCGATTACATGTCATAAATCCTAACTTGCTCAGGTGCAAGTGTATGTGCATCTGTGTGTGTTTGTGCCAACATGAGAAAAAATACATGAAACTATAAACAGTCTAATCAAAGCTGCGGCATTCATGATGGGGACATTATACACCGAGGATGTTTAGAGAAGTGTCACCTGTTCCATCTATACATCTGAATTTGTCCACACTGAACATATGACTGTGTAATCTGGTCTAACACCTGCCATCAAAAGCAATCACATACAGAGTGCTGGTCATGTGTCTGGATGGTTGTATTTGTATACCTAGCCTGTGTAAATGTGGACACCACTGCTCTGTCAGAGTCACAATATTCACAGGGTGAGGTTATGGTACGACTCATCCAAAATCACAAACTGCTCGATTCATCGACCGACAGACGGGTTCAGCATTTGTACAATGTGCTTTTAGTATCATCGTTACCTGTACAGAACTGTGTGTTTCCTGCTCATACATTTCAACTCACTTCTCATCTTTCTTCTGTTAGATGTTGGCTTTTAAAGGATGAGTATTTGATGTCTCTCTCACTGCCTGACACATCACCAGTCAGGCACATGGTGAGACTCTGTCAGAACCAGTCAAACATATGGAACCCAGAGATGCATCTTACCCCCTCATACGCTATAGTCTACTAACACTGGCACTTGACTATATTATGGAAACCTGCATGTATACTGCAGTATCTCATAGAGAGGGCGTCATTCAGTGTCCATCTGTGACTAACATTCACTGACCCGGTTGGTATAATCATCCAAAATGAATGATCAAATAGTTCAGTCATCATTTGGTCTATATTTTCTCTGTGCAGCAGAATGTTTACATGCAATGTTAGGACTCTCAGATGAGGAGAAAAGTGAGACGTCTTACCTGAGTTAGCCAGACATTAGTAGTCATCACCTGCTCTCTTTCATGCTGCAGAGAAAGAAGACATATACATTACAACCTGTGATTATAAAGGAATGTCATGATTAATTACAACACTTCAGTAAGCTGTTGGCATAAAACTGATTTGGCGAGTCCCAGTTACGCTTTTATTCCCAGTTGTCTGATGCGAGCTTCAGAAACAATGGATCCCACATTTCCAACTCAATGGTGCCTTTCATTAAACTGTCCCTGCTTGGTAAATGTAAATATCTTTCAAACTACACAAACCAGTTTGTAACATAAGCTTTCAATTTAAAAAAAAATGAAGTTGTCACACTCAAGTGAAGATAAGCCTTGATGATGTTCAGGCTTCATTTCTCAGACTTCAGAAAGCTCCTCCAGAGGCACAGAGAACATTATAGAACTGTTTTTACTGCCTATGACTCAACATAATGAGTAAATTAAACAGACACACTAATATTATGTGAAGCATTTTACTTTAAGACAGTAGTGACTTTGTTATTATTTAGTTTGTTTACAGTGTCTGAAAGCAGCAAAGTACATTAGTTCAAGTATTGTACGTAAGTACAGTTCTGAGTTACTTGTGCTGTACATTACACAAGTATTTTAACTTTGTGCTACTTAGTACCTCTACTCCACCACATCTTAGTGGCAAATATTGCATTTTTTCCTCTACATTTATTTGATAGCTGTTCATAAACACAAAATATTAATACTTCTTTCACCACTACTTGTTTGTCTATCTTTTACTTGAATTCCTCAGACTTCTCTGAATTGATTCTTATAAAGATCAGGCCTTGGGCAAAGAGTCAAATGGTTGTCACATGAATTGTGATTTCCTAGAATTTACATCATCAGGCAACTTCGTTTTCAGCTTTTACCATAAGACCTGAATACACATCATTTTTGGAGAGCCAGGCAATCAATTCAATCAGGAGTTGTAAGTCAGCATTAGAGCAGTTTTTGCACCTTACAAATGTCTTCTACATGTAAATATATCACCCTTGGCACATTTTTATGTTGAACCAAAGATTTATGCTGAATATCCCACAGTGAATCATCCTGTGAAAAGTGAACACAGATTCAGATATGTGCATATTCACCACACTGATGAGTTGGGCCAAGGACACCATCAGCTGCACAATAACCAGCTCGGAGCCATTAGTCGCAGGACGGATCAGTTTGTTGTAGTGGGCTGGGTTTAGGAGATGCTCCACCAACCGCTCCTCTGTGTCTGCCCCGAGGCTGCCTGTAATGAGAGCCCATTACCAAAAGACATCTGTGTCACTTTTGGTATCACTAAAATATAATTCTAGATGTACAGTACAAACACATAGGAGCAGGAAATCAGTGGTGCTGCTGGGTTTCTCTGTAGGGCCACTGCCACCACTGAGAGACGCAGGCCTATTGAGAATGCAAAGCCTTTGAATGATAGCATTACTCATCACTGCTGGCTGGAGTGCATCAACAGAGCTCGATACACATTTCTTATCAGATCTGACAGAGAATGAGTCAACCAGTCTGAATGTCTCTGTCACTCTCCTCATGCCTCTGCTGTCTCTATTCTTCTCTGCTCTGTTTTCCCTAACTGCCAGTCTTTTGGAGCATTGGGTTACCGTCACTCCATCTCTCACTCCCCCTGTCTCTTTCCCCCACCCCTTCCTTCCTCTTGTCCACCGTCCCTCCATCTGTTACAGAACGTAGTTGTAGTCTGTGCGAGTAGCTGAGTTATGGCAGAGTCATTACAACATCGCCCACAGGAGGGAAGGTGTTTTACTGGGAGACATGGTGCACAAAGAAGAGCAACCATTCCGCACCTCCTGCTCCTCTTTGATTCCTCTCTCTCCTGCTGTTCACTTCCTGCAGCTCCGGCATCTGCTTGCTCCTGTGCTGCATCTTTTCCCTCTCACAGTTCCCTCACCTTCTCCCCCTGAAGATAAACACAGGCTGCTTACTGTTAACTTGTTATCAGTGCTGTCATATTCTAAACTGCTGTTTTAGAGACTAGGAATAGCGCAGGAACACAAACATTTAAAGCAGATAAAACTGGCATACAGTTATGTTTAATTTTTTTATGTAAAGGATAAAAACTTTTTATTTTCAAGAAGGCCCATATAATCAAGGCTTTAACAGGAAACTTAAAAAAAACTATATAAAGGGAAAAAGAGAACAAATCAAAATAACAAAATAAAATACAAAACCCAAACAAACCCCTTACCACCCTTCTGACACTTTTATCACCCTGGCTTAAATGCAATATCTGCACATAATTGACGAAACAAAATTATATCAACAGAAGTGCTGAGTCGGCAAGCCATTTAGCCAGCAAAAATGCCAAACCATCACTTTATCCAGCTTCTAAGATGCTTTCCCCTATTTTATGTAACTGAACTGAATATCCTCAAGACTGTTGGTAATTTTAGACATCATTTCAGGTGTTATAAACTAGTGATCTGACATTTTATAGACCAAAAGATTAGTCAAATAATTGTCAGATGATGCGTAATTAAAAAAAAAAAATCTTGTTAAAGCCCTAATTAATATTACAGAAAAATTAAATGTATAAGCTACAAACATTAAAAACAATAAAATGCAATTAAAAGAAGACATATACGATATATGATTTGAAAATAGCAAAAAAGTTGGGCTTTGTTTGACTAGTGATGAAAACGCTGATAAAAACAGAAATTAAAAAGCTGAACCCCACTAATGTGTTTTTGCCACAACTTCCCTGTGTCTCTGCCCCCTCTCCTTATTCCTTCCCCTTCCTCCTCCCCTCCCTCTTTGCCCTACAGCCCTGTTGTGTTCACTGAACAGGAATTACAACCTCTGTGTCTGGATCAATGAGGACTCTATTCATGTCCTGTAAACTCATCCGCTGGCCCAGCCTTTTTTAAGAACCTTCTGCTTTTTCCTAAGTTCCATCTCCTCAACCTCCTTTTCTTTTTCTTTCTCCATGTATCATGTGAACCAGTCCATATTTTCTTCCCACTCCCCTGACAGTCTCCCTCCCTCTCTCCGTCCTGTTATCTCCCTTTTCATGTCGCTGACTCATTTATTGCCCTTTCTCTTGCTAACCCATCGTCATCAATACACATCCTGTCAGCACAAGTGTGTAGCACTCTGGTTGTTTATTGCACACAAGTGCTGGTTTTTCTTTGTGTGTGTGTGTGTGTGTGTCTTTTTGTGTGCACATACTGTACTCAACAGGGAAATAAGCATTACTGTCTGTGTATGAGCCATATGAGTAATGTATATTATCCCCAGATGCGCAAGGCAATAACACTGTGGAATGAGTCAAAAACCTAATACAATTCACTTAAACAATGATGAAGCAGAAAACAAAAACCATGCTCATAAAGTAAATGGTGGGTTCACGCCTAAGTTAACTAATGGCTTGCAAAATTGTTAAAATTATGCTCAGTGATTCTTTTTGTCAGAACTTTGCTTTATGTCTTACATTATATGAAGCATTTTGAATCATCTGTGCACATAAAGAAGTTTTTAAGGCTCCAAGCCAAATGGAACCCCATCACCCCAACCAAACTTTTTAACAGATGAGTGCCGATGCACTTTGATATCAGATCTTATGAGGAGCAGCATGAGGAGTAAATCAGTACTATTTCCCTTAGAGATGACTAGCACCATCTTCACAAGAAGCCCACACAGAGTTCAAAGCCAAATCAGTCAAGTTGATTAAATGCAAAAGAACTTTTGTCTGCAATTATTTTATACATCTGATTCAAAATAATGTCAGATGTCCTGTAGTCCTGTAGAGGATTGTGCAGTCGTGGCTCACATATCCACTCTCTGAGTCTTTTGTACTTATTTTTAGTTCGACTAAAATATTTGCATGGGTTCAGGGTGAAAGTCTAGCCCTGTCATGCATGAATTAGGGAAAAACATTATCCAGATTTTTACGATTGTTTCTCTGTCCATGTATGTGGACACCATGCAACGATGGAGTAACAGTGGGTGTAAAGCCACAGCTGGCAATCAGGAATATCATGTCTTCTTTTAGGTTATGTTCTTTATATATGCTGAATTATTTAACAAAAACAACAAAACACATATTTTAGAAACAACAGGGAGGAAAAATTCAAAATGATATTAACAACTGTGATTGGATGTATGAGGAACTCTCGCAACGGTGTATCAGAGCTGTCGTCTGCCGGCTTATAATCCTCATCACCGCTGTCACTGATGTCACGTCCACATCCCTCTGGGATATTCTCAATTAATATGTACTGTATCTCTGACCTACTCTGTCCCTGCTCAAAAAGCAAAACACAGTTTGTCTCTGTATGCATGTGTAAAGCTGGAATTTAATGTATATTTATATATATATATACATACATACATACATATATATATATCTTTTATCAGTTAAATTATATTTAAGATAATTGAAATAGTCTTTGAATAACTACAATAGATAAAATAGTAGGTTACACAAACAACACTACATAGACAGTTGGTTTTTGAGGTTAAAGACTATATTTTACTCTAAATTTAACTATACAAAACACAGAAATGTTCATTTCCTGTGCATGCTTTGCTTTTTTTTTTACCCGAGTTGAATAGAAAATTTTCACAGATATACATGAAGCATTTACCACATTGCTACCATCATCGCACATCTCAAATTGATCATGTCTGCAATCAAATCATTTATGTAATACATTATAGGAACTGCTGGTACAATATTGCTAAGGGTCTACTGATACTGCCCCCAAGTGGTTTGGAGAACTCCATCATTATAATCTAACCCAAAAGGGAGTTAAATTAACTGTAGACACCCTGCATGAAAGGGCTAGACTAATATTGTGGAGCACTGAGCCAAACAGACCCAGACAGAAAGCATTAGTCTGTTCTGGTTTTTCTTATTTCCAGAACAAAGCTGCAAAAATATCCATACACTCCACTGCACAGACGTGTTAACTCGCCTGCTCATCCGCAGCTGTTATTTATGCATCGAAACAAAGACCGATCCCCCTCACTCAGTTATGCTAGGGTCCGAGCTGAGTGGTTGTAATGTGGCTGCTGGTTCGGGTTATAGTCTGGGTGTTTTCCAGTGCACACATTGCAAAGTTAATGTGACACTATGAATATTTCAGTAGGGCTCCCCATTAGGCCATGGAGCAAGGGAGGTTACACACCACCGTGCACATGCAAACACACTTACATGCACACAGAACAGGAGCAGATGAGAGGGTAGCTATGTTTGCCGTGTTCGTTTGCTTTGCACCTCCATCCGTTTCTCTTTCCGCCCTTCAAATACTCTTTAACCTTAGTGTGTTGATGGGCCTCAGAAACTGTACAGGTCTCGTTCCTGGTTTTCTGCAGTAGCTTTATTTCTTTATGCTCTTTTCTGTGCTCTGCTAAAGATGCTTTTTGGCCACCGCTGGAACCTTTTATGCTGAAACATTCTTAAATCAATAACAGAGAGATCCAATGATCTACTGGCAACACCCAGCTGGCTCTATAGTGCCCATAGAACTGAGATGTTAATATTGATCCTCCATCCACCCACAATATCACAGCACTCAAAAACAAAGCCATCCCACTGTGGACTAACTGAGGCCGGAAGCTTTAATGCCACTCAATTCAACATCCTGGTCAGTTCATTATTTGTTATTTTACAGTGCTACTAACATGTAATCTACATGTAATTCTGTTCTTAGAAATACCAACACCATTAAAGGCTAACATGTTCATAAAGCCCTTTCATATTATGTTTATTTATACAATAAACATGTTAAGGATAGAAAGAAAAAAGCAACATGCATAAAAAACCTCAAGGAGCTGTAATAAATACACGCTATAAGTGGACAAAGTCAAAACACTGACATATAAATAAAATGTGTAAGAGTGTAAGATGTGAGTAAAAAATAAAAGATAAACATTTGCAAATGCCAAAAGCATAGCATTGTATAGGCTACAGTCTGTTAGCAGAGCTGAAATGATTAAACACTTATTTGATCCAAAGAACACTACTTATATAATCATTTAATGGCCTAAGTCATTACTCACTCACTGGTCCCTGTAGTTTAAATGTGAGGATCTGCTGCTTCTGTCTGTTTTACATCATTGTAAATCAAATTTCTTTGGTTTTGGGCTGTCGGACTGCGCCTTGAGCTTTGGGGAATTGCACTTCATTCTATTTTCAAATGCAGTATGTTGCAGCTACTAAAAATGGCATTTTAGGTTTTAATATTATTGAATACATATGAGTGATATTGCCTCACT